TGGTTTGTTGGTTTGTTGGTTTGTTTGTTTGTTTGTTTGTTTGTTTGTTTGGTTGGTTGGTTGTTTGTTGTTGTTGTGCTCGCCAAGCGAGGAAAAGTTTCACACCAAGCAGAGACGTCCCCTGCTGCGAGTGAGTGAAATGTTGTTGTTGTGGAGGTGGTGGTTGTTTTTGTTGTTGTTGTTGGTGGTGGTGTTGTTGTTGGTGTTGTTGGAGTTGTTCGTGGTGTTGGTGTTGGTGTTGTTGTTCTTGTTGTTGTCGTTGTTGTTGTTGTTGTTGTTGTTGTTGTTGTTGTCGTCGTCGTCGTCGTCGTCGTCGTCGGTTGCGGTGGTGTTCGTATGTTGCTTTGTTGCGCTGTTGCTGCTTCGTACAGTGCTACAGTCGAGCAAGTCTGCTTGAACCTGGCAGTTTTCTTAACAGAAGAGCCCTAATTAACGGCGTAGAAGAGTCTCTGTCGTCGTTGTGCAACCAGAGCAGAAAACTCAATCATTCTTTGACCAGAGTTACCATCTTCTCACGATGTTTGTGTCCTCACTGGCGGATTCACCGCTGTGGGAATCTTCATCATCACCATTCCAAAATATCATAATATAGGTAGAAGATAGTACAGTATCAGTTGCAGAAAAAGAACAACCAGGCACTGTCGATCGAGAAAAACCAAGGTGGCAGCTTGCGAAGCCTTCGGAGACGTCGCACAGTACCTACCCAGGCCAGGCTTGGTGACAAGAGATGGGTTTCGGGTTCAGGGCGTAGGGTTCGTGGTCCAGGGTTTGGAATGCTACATGTTCTTCAAGCGCTCGCGACGTGCTACTTGCAGAAATCGACTTTCTGATGGCCTGTTGTAGGGATGATCGTCCGCAGTGAGTGCTTGCGTAAACCCTTAACACATCAAAGAACAGCCCCAACACTTTGGGGGGGAGTTCTAGGGTTCAGGGTGCGTCAGAAATAGAGACGAGCTTTCAATTGTGCTTCGGGAACTGAGGACACTGCTGTATGCAGGCTAGTTGTGGTTTGATGCTTTGGGTTTAGTTTCGCTTGAAGACGTGGGAATGCAGGGCCGTTCAAGCGGTATTAAACGCTCCTGGAAAGATGCTCAACAGCCCTTTCCTGTCTCCGTCCTGCTTTCTCCCTCTTTGTGTTGGGGTCTTTTGATTCTTTTGCTGTGTAGTATGCTGAGAATTTCATGGTGCCTCCCTACCCTGCAATGCAGCAGCACTGCACCCCAGCGAAGTGTAATTCGAGATATACGTTGCATTGAGGAGACGAATCTTTGCAACCTCAGAACCTGAGCATAGAGGGGTTGGGTTCAGGGTTTAGCGGTTTAGGGTTTAGGGGTTTAGGGGTTTAGGGTTTAGGGTTTAGGATTTAGGCTTTATCTCTCCTATCTGCCATGTTTTGGCCTTTCAGGTCTGCGCTATCAGCGGACAGCCTTGTGGAAATTGTGCTGCGGAGCCGGGTGGATCCCTACGCCGCTTGATCTACTATTCAGGAGGGTTTAGGGCTTAGAGTTTAGGGTTTGTAAACCCCAAACCGCAAACCCTGAACCCAAAGCCCTACATCGAAAGCATAAACCCTAAACCCTAAACCCCTAAACCCCTAAACTCCTAAAACCCCTAAAACCCCTA